GGGCAGGCGGTCCGCAAACTCGCGCTTTTCTGCAGGCGGTCAGCAGGATTTCGGGGCGTGGCCAAATCTTCAGCGGGCGGTATTTGCGTTTTCTGCAAGCGGGCATCAATACAAAATTTTCTGCAAGCGCTCGTCAAACAATCTCTTTCAGCGAGCGCTGGCCAAACTTTCAGCAGGCGCTCAGACTCTTTTTACGCAGTTTCGGGCGTACGCCGAGAAAAGATGAGACTCTATGTGGCAGAGGTGCCATCGATGGTTTTATTACCCAAGTTTGGGGTACTTTCTTTCAGCGGAAAGTACCTGAGGGCTGTGCGGTCCTTTAAAAAGGACCGTGCGGCTCTCAATAATTTTGCATGTTCTCGCGGAAAATCCGCGAGAATGCGGCCACTGTGCCGCAACTTTGCATAGAAGAACCGCGATAGATCTTCGAGCGTTCATCTAAAAATTGGCCAAAATTATTCCAGATTTCTGCAAGCGGACCACAAAAAATCAGCGAACTATTTTTCCGGTGCCCGCTTGCTCAAAATTCGCATGGCCGCTTGCCCCCGGCGATTATCTGAGTTGGTGGTCAGACTGAGAGGGAGGGGGGGGGGGGGGTTCGTTGTCAAGAATCGAATTCACTCAAAGCTAAGGAAATACTACGATTGAGTAAGGTGAAGAAGAAAAGCTTTAGACCGATGCATATCACAACTCTTATAGAATTGAAGGAATGACTGCCGTGAATAGCATATTGATTGACTCCAACGAAGTTTTGGCCAAATTTCAATTCTCCATCCCTTACCTGACACTAATAAGGTCACCAAAGAAGCTTGCTGTGTAAATTGGGTATAGCTTCCGTAATTATCATATCAAATCACCTCTACTAGCACTACAGACCATTACCTCTTACATTTTCTAGCGTTTTCTATCGTATAAAAAGCCTGAAATTAGACATGATTAACTTGGTTTTAGTGAAAGAAGTCACCTTTTTTATACTCATAACAAAGTAATGTTCCCTATCAGTCCATACTAGGAATAAGAATTCATATCGCTTTCAAATGGGGATTAGGAGGTACTGCCAATATCCAAACATCGCGTGTTTCACCTTGAGCGCGTCAACCCTGTGGAATACCACAAAGGCGAAAAAAGTCGAGCTAAGCTTAAACACCTACCGTAGAATGTTCGAAGTTTGTGCTAGCGAATTACATAGAAATTGGATGAAAAAGCGTCTTCGGAGATAAAGTTAATGGGGTCGGGCGCAACCCCTCCAAAGGTCAGGCCCCCGCTTCTGTAGCCTTGCGCCTGACCCACTTAACTTGTCTTCAAAGTCCAGAAATCAGTCCATTCTGGTATGAATATTGAGCTCATAGCCTCTTCTTGCCTCAGCGAGAAATTGGAGCAAAACAGTCCACCCCTGGGAAATTCTGGCTCGTTCAATAGGGCGATTCACCTCAAAATCCGCAGTCAAATTACGTGTACTTGTAATGTGCAATCACAGAAAAGCGATCATCCAGTCTCCTAAAATTCAAAAACTCTGCAGGACAGACTTTCTCCAGAGTGTCACTTTGTGAGGTTCCGGAGATGGAGGGGATTAACAGGAAATCGTTGGGGGGGGGATTTCCTGGAAGTCTAATCTTGTCCACACTGCAAACAACTAGTCTTATTAGGTAGCATTCAATGGATGATTGTCCCAGAATGATCACACGAGAAAAAAGTATACTGTGTTTTCTTTCAAAGGAAAAGGTGGTCGAATTTGAAAAAAACGCGTAGGACGGTTGTTGTCTGAAAACACTGAAGTTTAATAATTAGACAAGAAATCATTTCGAGATCATGTAATCACTATGCCCTATTTATCCTAATGACATCGTTGCTAGTTCAGTGGTTTAGTACTGTGCGTGCGCACAGGCTTTTTTTGTGTAAGGGAGACGTGGTTTGGTTCTAGCATCTGATACGGATTTTGGAAAACTGCAGGATGGTAGAACTCCTACAAGAGATTCACAACAGTAGAACGCTTGAAAAATGGCAATTTCATGGTCAATGTCCACTTGATATATCGTTGAATCATACACCTCCTTCTTGATCAAAGGTATATTGTACTTTTATCTATTGCAATCTTCAAAACTTCGACGTGAGTTGTTCTCGGACTTCTTTATGGTGAATCCTCCTTAACGGTGGACATAAAACGCAATAGAAAAATACGTCTTCACAGAAGAACGGCTTGAGTTTCAGATATTTTAGAGGACGTTTTCCGTTACAACGGCATACCCACCTCAATTCCTGTTCAATTGAGCGCAGTCATTCGAACGTTCGTTTGCATAAAAATGATTTCTAGCCTTCTCATTGCTTCGGTTGAATAAAATAACAACCTTTTGTATGGACGTCTGCTTACCCACTATGATTCTTGTTTTGGCAGGCTAACACTCTTTCTTGCCTGCCATTGCGTCGCCGTCTTTTGTGTCAGTAGCCCTCTTCACAGTCACCCCATAAGGTGCTCCTCGTTTCCAATTTCCTTCACACAAAACTTAAACAAAACTACAAACTGAGAATCCATTAAAAGAATAAAATTTTGTCCAATTAACAATTTGCTTCTCCCTTCACAACTACTCCCTGTTTCACAGCTCAAAGTTAGCAAAAAATCGATAGAGTCGACAGTGGTGATTTGATTCGCAATCAGCAATCTTGATTCCCCTTCACACTTCGATGGTGGTGGTTTGACTTGTATAATGATGCCTAACTTTGACCACGACTTTGAATGCGAGAATATTCTTGACTCAAATTTATCTCCTATTTACCTCAAAAGCATTTGCCCTTCCGACCGGTACAAAAAATCTCAAGTCTGGATCTCAACTTTGAACTAGAAAAATTGAATATTTGAGAAGAGAAAACAGGAGACATCGAACACATCCGTCATCAATGAAGCATGAATTGGCAAGTAATTGTGATAAAAGTTCCAGAACAAGTTCACCGAGTGATACTAAACGCATAACATCATCAGAAAGCATTACTAGCCCTTTGTCATCGTAATCAACAAACAAAGACCAGGTTTCACCCTACTTGCGCTAAACAGGCTTCCTTCTCTAGGATGTTCTCCGGAATATTCAGGAGTGGTTTTTTTTTCGATTCTTTCGTGCATTTCCGGCAAGTTTCTATGTGGTGGCCCTAGTTTCAATTCCTACGTCGTTTTAGTCGAGGAAAGGCATATGAGAAGTTCTGAGGGTATCAGTATTACCTTTTCCGTGAACTGAAATCTATCTGCAATTGCAAGTCAGTTCTTGACGTGCTGCAGCACGTCAGAATTAACGCCGTAAAAAACTTTCCTTAGTATAATGCGAGCTGACATATGTTTTCCACCACGCAATGGTCGTTGCTCGACTTTTTCTTAACAACATTGTATTGAATCTCCTCCAAAAAAGATTTGCTTTCTAAAGTCTGATTTAATATAGTACGGTTTCATACGTAAGTCGATGAAATCGCTATTAACGAAGGCATTCTTCGAAGTAATTAATCCCCTATACAGCGAAGCGATTTCTCAGGTGTTTCGAACTGTGGTTTGAAGAAGCGGAACTCGGCCTGAAAAGGTAGCATCTCCGTTCTTAGCTCCGCATGCGGATGACCACAGAGATAGCCTGACTCTGCTCTCTTCTTCGCTAGGGGATGGTGGTGCGCAGGGTAAAGCGTGGGTGTGGCACGCCACACCAAGGGGTTCGTAGAGGGAGGGAAGAGGGTGGTCGGTAGGGGGGGGGGGGTCGTAATTGAACGTGATATTGATGTTGGCGATAACATGATATGTGACAACGAAATCAAGTATGTCCACTATGCAAATAAAAAGCGCATGAGGTACTGGTCTGCCACGTATGGGTACAGTAAGCATAATAAAGTAGCTCTACCAAACACATTGGGTATCATTTTCGTAATTAGCATGTCGGATAACATCTATCCACCTTTCAGTGGAGTCAGACGTTTCCGTATAGTGAATAACCTCAAGTGATATATAATTTTCAAACGTGATTAACTTCGTTTAGGTGAGTTAGCTACTTTTTTTTGCGCTCAGTACAAAGCACTACTCTTTCTCTCCCCATCTGAGGAATCCCACTTCAATTAACAGCCAAATCATGGAATTACGAGCTAGCCAAAATCGTGTTTGTTCCATTTTTCAGTTTTGGTTGCGGTTTCATCATCTATTACTCCTTCTAAAGAAGACGAACCAGGCTCAAATACTTCATATGCATAGTACGAGGACTACGTTTCAAATCGTGTTCGAAACGTTCGCCAAAACTCTCTTTGAAGGTAAGTTATTGGGGTGTGGCATAACTCCAATAACTTATATAACTTGTTAACTTTAACTATATAACTTATATAAGTTCTTCTACATATCGCGAGTAGAGGGTGTCGCGCGTATATGTCGCTGATAGCGGGAGCCGCGCTGACAATGCAGTAGATACTCAGCCTGTGCATGTACTGGAATGTGTTTTTGTAGCAGATGTCCGGCGGGAGCTCCCACTTTCGGCGACATATGGTCCCTATTTTTGAATCTTTCAACCCATTTGTAAAACGCTTAGAAGTTCACACTTTTACGGAAAGTGTTTTCTAACACAATAAAATACTGAGGAGACGTCGTTCGTGAAAGCGCTTCCGATCACGAACACCAGCTAGGCAGTTTTTAGAATGTGCAACTCGGTGGGCGGACTTAATCTATTGGGCTAAACTACTGAAAGCAACAGTCAGATGTTAGAGTGACCTTCTCCGTATGCATACGTAATCTCTAACTGCTTAACGTTACAATGCTACCTTCTTACAAATCAATCACAGAATTGATAAATACAGCACTTTATGATATTTCTCATGACATTAATGTGATAGGAAATTATCGCCTTTGACGGGAGCAATGCGGCATAGCTGAATACTTAATCGTGTTGCATAAACTTTAGCATTTTTCTTCTAGCATTTGGATGGGGCTATTGCTTTCCAGCTTCACTGCCAAAACCCTCTTTCTATCGCTTCAACCTATAGGATATATGGTCCTCCACATACTAACAGCCTTCCAAGTTCAGATTCAGTCATGAGTGCTACGTTGATTACGTCTGTCGGTTGGTTAGTAACAGTATCGTGCGTAACCATGGCAAGGTCTTCACCAAAAATGGTTGAACGTCAAGGCTCTGTTTGTATGAAACCAGTTGAATACGATGAGACTATGGCAGACTTTCGCCGTTACTATCGGGATTTTCCAGAAGCTGTTGAAAGTTTCCTTGGGAAAAAGCTGGTGAGGCAAGAGATAAATGCTGATTCTATTCTTGTCTTTGTAACTTAAGGCTGATGACGACCGCATAATAAGGTTCGAGATAAAACACTTTGATGAACAGGATAGAATCATGTTCGTGAATGTTGTCGAAGTGAGTATCCCACCAGTCCTCACATTTTTTTGTCACTATTTCATGGAAGGCATCCATCTGGAACTTGCTTCTGCAAAAGTTTGGAGGTGCCAGAAAAATGTTTAGAAAAACAGAAGAGTTGAAATACGGCGATTTTCGTATTATCAAGGCGCAATGGACAAACTTAGGTTGAGTTTAGCACTCACGAATGAAGCTTTTACTAAAGAACATATTGAAAATTTGGAGCAGTCACGTGGGGAATGAGGACAGTATGGCTTTATTTGGTCTCGCGCAATCTCAAGGTGCTCCCAGGTTGCGCTGGAGCAGCTTTAAAGCAATGTCACCCAGATTTCTCGACTTCTTTTTTTTGTCGTTCCGGGACTCTTTCATTTTTCTGATTCCAGATAATCACTTTTCGCAGAACCCGTAGGTCAAATTCTCCGGAACGGTGATTGGTTGGGTGGGCATGGATGGGAAGGCGAACGTCACGCTCATCAGAGGGGAGGAATCAGAGTGAAAAATCCGTCATCCGAAGCGAAATTCGATGCAATTTTCTCGCTTCAATTTTTGGCAGCTCGAGTTGGGCAAAGCCTACAATCGGGCCCGCTACTGCTAGATCAAAACCTCATCGACCCCATTCTGCTCAGATATTCGCTGGGGGCAGGCGGCCACGCGATTTATGGGCAAGCAGGCCGAAAAAATTCGCTGATTTCTGCCGTCCGCTTGCAGACATTTGGAAGAATGTTAGCAATTTTTGAACGAATGCTCGGAGGACAACTGCGGCTTTTTTCGGAGATTAGTTGCGGCGCAGCAGCCGCACTTTTGGGGACTTTCCGCGAGAATATGCAAAAATTATGGGGGCCGCACGGTCCTTTGTGAGGAACCGCACAACCCTTATTTACCTTCCGCTGAGAGGTACCCCAAACTCGGGTAAAACCATCGCTAACACGTCTACCATATAGAGCCTTGCCTATGCTCGGCGTACACCCGAAACTGCGTAAATAGAACCCAAGCGCTCGCTGAAAGAAGTTTGGCCAGCGCTCACTGAAAGAAATTATTTGACGACCGCGCGCAAAAAATTCTGTATTGCTACCCGCTGGCAGAGCATGCGATAGTAAAAAAGGTATCGCTCGCTCAAAGTTTGGCCACGCCCCAATGCTGAGCGTCTGCAAGAAAGCGCGAGTTTGGGGTCCGCCTACCCGGCGATATCTGAGTGGGTGGACGGTGACCTCAAATAGACAAACACTCACAGCTCCTTCCATAAAAATATCTTACACATAAAGCTAAATGTCTGTTTGTCTGTATGTTCTGTCTGTCTGTGCGTACGTGTGTCCGTATAGAGAATTGCATTATGATCCAGTCCGGATCAAACTTTGCATACATACGCCTCGGCGCGGGACGGGTTCGAGGCTACTTTTCGTTATTGATCGATACCGATTGTTTGCAAAGTTCACCTACGGGGTTGGGAGCTGGTACAGGGGAGTGCGTGAGCATGCTGATTATGAATGTAGAAGATAGGGCCGGGCGGAGCCGAGTTTGGCAGCTAGCTCTTCATAACTTCATACTTCTGTTTTGATCATTGCTGCAATACAAACTAAATTTGATAGCTCAATAAGAAGATCTAGGCGTTGTAAACAGGCTAAATGTTTATCTCTTAGTGCATAAGAACTGTGTTGCAACACTCAAAATTGTGTACACACGGGCTTGAAGACACTTATTCAGGTTTTTAATAAATCTGCTTCTTTCTTGTATCAAAACACTCAAACACAGTGATTACGCACCACCAGGTTTGGAAGAAACGTGATCATTCTTACTATTTGGAACTTGAATATTTCTCAGATAAAAGCTCATAACTCCTTGCAGATAGCCTTGGCACATAACAAATATATAAATTAGCGTTTTATGGCGAGTCCGTTGTATAGCTTATATTGGATGGCTATCTAAAATTCCTTCGTGAGTCCTCATTGGGTCACACTGCGCGATTCAGCGTACGAACGTATCAGCGTACAAGTGTGCGTACTCCCGACCCTCAGGGAAAACGTATGTTCTTCCTTCTGTTTACTCGATATTTTTTCAGAAAAAATCTGGCAAAAGCGATTTTGTCCGCTTGGATAAGTTATCTGGTGCGTTGAAGACGATCAACGAGAAGGAGTTCAAAAAGTGGAGAGCTGCTTGTTTCAACATGTCGGGTAAGAGAAATAAACCACCAAAAGACTTGTTGCAGCGTACTTATGGGAGCTCATGGCAGTCGCATGCGAACTAGTACCTGCCCAGTTTTTTCTTTGCCACAAGTATTGTTCCCATCTTGAGATAACCGGACGCTCTTCCACGCAAACTGGTCAAAGCAATGGTCTGTTGGTCTGAAGGTCACGTCTTGTCGTAGAGTTAGTTTTAAGCGGAGTCCAAGAAAAAATACGGCAGTGGCAGGCACGGATGCCTGATGTTTCGTCGTCCTCAGAAACACTCAAATTATACAGAACATCATCTGCAAAAGCGGATCGAAGTTCCTCTGTGCTGCTCTCTCTCAAAGATTCTTTGACAGATGAGTACTCTTATACCACCGCTACTTTTTACGGATGACAGCGCATAATGAGATATACATAGAAGGCCATCAAAAGTTTTTGATTATCTACAACTGAAATAGCGATATGAGTGGCAAGAAGTCGGCAGTTGTGAACGGACACTCATTCTGTTATTGATTTTGGATCTTGCTAGAATCCAGAAAGCTTTGATGCCTTCCTATCGAAATTCCTCTTTCATGTGCTTTGATAGTGCAATCAACTTTGAAGCATTTCCGTCGCGTGCATCGTTCTTCAACTAATCGGTTCATCTCTTGCCTGCAAGATGACCCATACTTCCATCAATTTATGACGCGTACAATCAAACAATTTGATCTGTACGACTCCCCCAATCTCCTTGTCTGCCATACTGACATATATACTAATTATTGCAATAACATCAACCAGTAACTATGCCCGGACTGTGCACTGCTAAAGCAGAAGTGATTTTATCCAAATCGAAGGCAGACAAAGAGGGAGTTCACTGCCTACGTGTATGTGGTCATATTGCATCGTGTCTGCATAGTTATGAAGCAAAGTTGCGCTAAATGGTGCCGTACTTTGCACGTTCCCTCTCCAGAGCATAACATGGCTGCTATCCTAAACATATTTCAAATACAACCCTTTTCACGCTTATTGGACGTGTGGGAAATGGCTTTGATGAGGATGTTCTTGTAGCTATTTTTGCAGTTTCATTGTTACAATGCCACTACTTTATTTGGCTAGCGTGTTCAATGAAAGTAACCATCCTCCTGTGGTTTTTCGCGAGTCAGCGTGACATACGATGACAGTTGATTAATCCTATGACATCCGTCCGTATTAGGGTGTGCTGAACTCACCAAAATCTTTCTCGTGGTTTTTCGCAAATTAGCTTGCGGCTTTGTTATTTGCTATCTTAATTGAACATGTTAGTCAAGTTAATTAACGGCAATGTAGCAATGAAATGGCGCCACAAGCGAAGATAGCTGCAAGACAGTGGCCTACCGAGGCCCCCCCCCCCCGCCGAGAACGGGTCGCGAAATTTTTGAAAGTTACTCACATGAGATATAAAAACGTGCAAGTGACTTGTTTATTTTTGTAAATAATTAAAATAATTTTTAAAATTTTCTAAAAATTCAATTTAGCTTTATAAAAAAATTTTTTTCTCCAGATTCTAAGGGTTGGGGGCCCGCAAAAATTTTGAGAAGCCTCCCCTAAGATTTTTTCGGAGCGCGTGGCTGACGCCACGCACCTTCATTTGGAAAAAAATTTTTGCCGCCCCCCCCCCCCCCCGAGCCGAAATCCTAAGTACGCCGCTGCTGCAAGAACATCACCAACGTCAACTCCGTGCACTTGCACTCAGTAAGCATGAAGCATGCTGTAACTTGAAATATGTTGGTAACACTACATAAGCATGGACCATGCTCAATTTGGGATATGTTAGAGCAGCAGCATTAGTTTGTTTTGCAGAAATAAACGTTGCGAGGCACGGCACTTACAAGGGAACGATACTCAATGTCCGTGGCCTTTCATAACGTGATTCATACCATTACACTCGCTTTCGAACGCTGATTCCGAATCTGCCTTTTCTGCTAATCGTTTCTCTGAAAGAAGTTATGGGAGAATGTCGAGCCAAGTTTGGCTGCTCAAGAGAAATATGGTCATTGGAACGGCCTGTACCACGGCCACTTTCTGGTCTAGTGGTTAGTGCAATAGCCTTATAAGTTGATGCAGGTGTAGGTTCAAACCCTCCTGTGTTTTTACTTTTGCATTACCTCAATTAAGCTCGTTCGAGAAAATTTACTTGAGCTATGATCATTGGGTACAATTTAGCGCAAATAGTAATCATTTTTTCCGAATTTCCACATTTTTTTGAAGAGTAAGGGCGTTCACTTAGCTCGATGATGCGAATGAAGGTTAATTGAGGCAATGCAAAACTGAAGAACACAAAAGGATTCGAACTTGCAACCGCATCAACTCATCGGGCTATCGCACTAACCACTAGACCACAGTGCACCGGTAGCGCTGGCGCTCCGACAACTATTTCACTGGGAATCCACAATCCGTGCGATCCATTACAACATTTTTGAAGCGATTAGCAGAAAAAGAAGTCAGATTCGGAATCAGTGTTCCAAGACGACTGTAATGGTATACATATTATCTTAAGAGGCCACGGACACCGAGTATCGTTTCCTTGTTAGCTACAAACGTAGCGGTGACGTTTGCTTCACACTCCGCATACACGACATTTCACTCGCACTGACCACTACTAAAAGGCAAAAAACTTCTTCCCTGTTTACCTATTTCAGATAAAATCATTTCTGCTCCTTAGCAATGCATTTCTGCCCACAATCCTTGGTTGATATTATTGCAATTCACCATGTGTCCGTATGGCAAAGAGGGAGATCGCGTTAAAGTGGGAGTTGTTACTTCAGCGTCTCGACTGTAAGGTATCATTGAAGAGGCAGGGTGCTTGATGTACAGGGCTTATCAACTGCGGTGTCGGTGCACCAGCATCTCCGCTACGCCTGGTCTGCACCTCTTTCGCAAACATGCTCTCGGATCACTATTCCAGGGCGAACGTGGAAAAGGCGGAGCCTCAATCGATTGGAAACAATTAGACAGCATGTTCGCAGAGAAGACACAGAGTCTAGCGTGGTAGTGGAGTTGCTGGTGCAGCAGACACTGCAATTGAGAACCCCTGTACGAGTGAAAGACAACAACGCGCAGATTGAAATGACTAGAAAGCTGGTTACAGCCGGCTATTCTTGAAGTAGATTTTGTTAGGAAGGCACCAGAGGAGTTCTGAAATTCTACCAAGAAAGACCTCACTTTTGATCTAATCATCTCAAAAATGAGCACTAACGGTTAAAAAAACGTCATCCTGTTTTTGAGGAGCATACTAGATTTGCTCAGAAAGAAGTGCGTTATAGTTTACTAGCTAAGAGGCAAACAAGCGGCAGCGAAGTTTTAAGCAATCATTTATAAACTTCCCTACCTGAATTCTTAGGCCCCGGTCAGACTTCACGCGACTTAATCGTCGCGATCTAATCGCCAAGATTTCCATTCATTTTCATTTCACATTCAAAAATTTCGGGCTGGAAAAGTATCAAAACCGAATGCAAGTTGATCGGCATGGAATGATGTTGTATCAGTTGTCTCGTCGCGACTCAGTCGCGACGATCAAATCGCGTGAAGTCTGCCCGGGGCCTTAGGCGGGAACATTGCTAGAATCGATCGAGATGTCGTTGTGAACGTTTTGAAAACAACATAAAAAGCACGAAAGTATCTTTTCGAGATTTTTTTGGCTAATTCATGTCATGGTAAAAATGTAATGCGCCAAGATTGTGCATTGCAAAGGCCCACTTTAAGATGTGTACACTGCTTCAAGATGTGTACACTGTCCAGTATATTTTCCGCTGGATTTAGGGCCATTTTCTCATTCTCTCGCTACCTGAAAGTACGTCGATTCGTTGTCAAAATGGCAACGAAACCAACTTCCATAATCAAAGTGGGTGTTTCAAAACGGCAGATGTAGCGGTGCTGGTGGAGAAACCTTGTGTCCTCAAAATATCGTAGACATGAAATCTTGTAAGAATCTGAGATTTTTGAGGTTTAATTTTTTCAACCATAGCCTCTAAGTGCGCGAGCACAACATGACACTGTCTTTGTCATTCTAATCGGAACCGCAGATCAGCCTATGTGCTCCATCTTATCTATATATATATATATATAAAACTCAAAAATTGTCAGTTTGGAGGGTATGTGCGTTATAGAAATGCGCGCCGCTCAACCAATTCAGCTGAAACTTTGCACACATATGTTTTCGACCCCTGCGCAGATGATAGGCTACTTTTTGCTGCGATTCGTTTGGTCCTTCTATCGATTTATTGATTTGTTTACGTTTTTCTAAGGAATTGAAGGCTTATCATGTACAGTCAAGCATTTTCCCATAATCTGTAAAGGAGGGCGGTGAAGCTCATTTTAACCTCATTATCACGAGGATGCGGTTTGAAGCGGATGTCCCTAGGGTAAGTCATCCATAACATATAAGGGGGGGGGGGGCTTGCAGTGCAAGTGAACGGAACAAGGCCCGGGCTGGACCGGGAAAGCCAACTAGTATATTATATAAAACTGAATGTCTGTCTGTATGTCTGTGTATATGTATGTCTGTGTGCATATTTTCCGAATAGAAATTTTTATTTCTGAACCCAATCCGGACCAAACTTGGCATACATACACTTCGGGGCGGGACGGGTGCCGTAAGCCACTTTTCGTCATCGATCGATGTCGATTTTTATCGATTATTGGTAATGTTTGACCTGCGGGGCTGGGAGTTGGCGTAGGGGGTGATCGAGCATGCTGATTATGAATAAGTTATCAGTTTTTGATATTATTCGCTACGTCTGTCGATTTTATCGATTTTTTCGCAAAGTTTAAGCTACGGGATTGCAAGTTGGCACAGGGGGTAAGTGAGCATCTGATTACTAAGCACAGCGGGAATAGGAGATTGGCATGTAGTGGACACCGGGAAAAATTGTGGATAGGAGTGGGACCTTCATCATAGTATTGGACAGGGCCGGGCGGAGCCGGGTAAGACAGCTAGTCATCAATAAGTTTGTACAGTCCGCCATCGGGAGGCTGCCATACAC